AAAAATATGAGTCAAAAGGCAATTTATACACGTATGATTTAATTTGACTTTTACTTATAATGTCTTGTTCTTTTATATAATAAATAAATAATATGTGAAAAGAGTTTTACTAAAGTGAAATCATTTAATAAAATTTAAATGTGAAAAGAAAATCTTTTTAACTAACATTCATTTGTCTCGCACTCGGTGGCCAAATGGCCACCCCTTACAAGGTACGTGCGTAAGACTACAAGGTCTTGGGATCAATCCCAAGTCCTCCATTCCCCCTTTCCCAAAAAAAAAGATTTCACACTGTTCAAAAAAAAAAAAAACTTTCATTTATTATTCAAAATATATTAAATCAAAAATATACAAAAGTGAAATTAAAGTAACTAAATCAGATGTTAGGGAGTATATGGCAACTGCTTTTTGCTCTCTTGACCCATTAAAATTCCTATTAAGTTTGTTTAAAATAACTATTAAAATTTAACAAATAATAAATAATAAATAAAAGTAGTAAATAGTAAATAAAAGTAGTCAATAGTGGATAAAAATTGAGGTCCATTTGATTTGTGAAAAATAATTTTGTATTACTATGCTCTCTTTACTCTATCCGTGGTATAAGAACCGTTCTCCTTGTATGAAGAAAAGAATTCTTTTACCAAAAGGACGAAATCCATGTCACATTACCTATTCCGGGGCCCATACCTTAACTCGTGTCCAACACCGGAACACAACGCAATCGGGAAGGCCGACACAGAGTAGCCGCTGTTTCCATCCTGATCTCACACCTGTAAAGGGTAGGCAACCTACTAAGATTTTCTAAGATTCTTCCATAGGTTCAAGCTGAAAAAACGTGGATCTTTTAAGAAGTATATAAATGATATAATGCACATCCTATTCTTCCATCAAATTCTCCACCAGCTTCATACTCTGTTGTTATTTGATTTTTGCTCTTTGTTTTGCAAAAAGACTTTCTTCCTTTTCTGGTCATACTTAAATACATTATTCTTGTTCTTTACTTATCTGTATTCATGACTGCTATTCTGAACAAAGCACGCATAATCTGCACTGACCATTTGCCCGATGGTCGGCCTGCCTCCCTCAACAAATACAGCAAAAAATGGCATTTGGCTTTTGTCGCCATCTACTGTTCAAGAACTCTGTTTTCTCTCGTCAAGAATCATAATTCCAAGGTTTCGCGCATTCCTGATCATGTCAGTCTACCAATTCCACCAGAAAATGGTTGTTTCAAAATTGATGAGACCACTCTCACCGACATTGTGAAGGAGAAAAAGCTTGGGAAGCTTCAGATAATTGGCGGGGTGAATGGGGTGGCTTCATCCCTTCAAACCAGCCTGGATAGTGGAATCCAAGGCGGTGCTGAGGACGTTGCTCGCCGACATGAGGCATTTGGTTCTAACACCTACAAAAAACCACTATCTAAGAGTATCTTTCATTTTGTGGTGGAAGCTTTCAACGATTTCATGATTTTGATCCTACTCGGCTGCGCCGCACTTTCTCTTGGTTTTGGCGTCAAGGAGCATGGCTTGAAAGACGGTTGGTATGATGGTGGGAGTATTTTCGTGGCTGTTTTTCTGGTCATTAGCGTCTCTGCCATCAGCAACTACAGACAGAACAGACAGTTTGATAAATTGTCTAAAGTCAGCAACAACATCCAAATTGATGTCATCAGAAGCGGCAGGCGGCAACATATTTCAATATTCGATATCGTGGTCGGAGATATTGTTTGCCTGAAAATCGGAGATCAAGTTCCAGCAGATGGGTTGTTCTTGGATGGACATTCTCTGCAAATCGACGAATCCAGCATGACAGGGGAGAGCGACCATGTTGAGGTGAATTCAAAGAAAAACCCGTTCTTGATTTCTGGTACCAAGGTGGTTGATGGGTACGCCCAGATGCTTGTCACTTCCGTTGGAATGAACACGACTTGGGGCCAGATGATGAGCCACGTGAACGGTGATAAAAACGAGCAGACGCCACTGCAAGTCCGGTTAAACAAGCTAACGTCGGCAATAGGTAAGGCCGGTTTGGCAGTGGCTTTCTTGGTTCTTGTAGTCTTGTTGGTTCGTTACTTCACCGGAAACACTACAGATGAGAATGGAAATACAGAGTTCAATGGAAGGAGCACAAAAGCCGATGATATAATAAATGCTGTGGTGGGGATAGTTGCCTCTGCCGTTACCATCGTCGTTGTTGCTATCCCAGAAGGGCTTCCGTTGGCTGTTACGCTGACTTTGGCTTATTCAATGAAGAAAATGATGGCGGATCAGGCGATGGTTCGAAAGCTTTCTGCCTGTGAAACGATGGGGTCTGCCACCACAATTTGCACTGACAAAACAGGTACTCTTACACTTAATCAGATGAAGGTGACAAAGTTTTGGGAGGGAAAGAAAGCCATTGATGGAGCTTCTTCTTCCATTTCTCCATTTGTTGTTAGCTTGATTCATCAAGGAGTTGCTCTGAATACAACCGGAAGTGTTTACAGAGGTTCTTCAAGGTCGGAATTTGAATTCTCTGGTAGTCCAACGGAAAAAGCAATTCTTTCTTGGGCTGTTCTAGACATGAAGATGGATCAGGAGGAAATAAAGAGGAATTTCACAATTCTCTTTGTGGAAGCTTTCAATTCTCAGAAGAAACGGAGCGGAGTTCTGATCAAGAAGAAAGAAGATAACACAGTTCACGTTCATTGGAAAGGAGCAGCAGAAATGATTCTGGCTATGTGCTCAAGCTACTATGATGCTTCAGGAGTTATGAAAGATCTTAATGGAGAAGAGGGGATGGAATTCAAGAAAATTATTCAGGGAATGGCGGCAAGCAGCCTCCGGTGCATTGCTTTTGCTCACAAACAAGTTGCAGAAGCAGAGGAGGAAAATGTGAAAGAGAAGAAAAAGCTTAAAGAGGAAAACTTGACCTTGTTGGGACTTATAGGTATCAAGGATCCTTGTCGGCCAGGGGTGAAGAAGGCAGTGGAGGATTGCCAGTATGCTGGAGTTAACATCAAAATGATTACTGGCGACAATGTCTACACAGCAAGAGCTATTGCCACTGAATGTGGGATTCTTCGGCCACGTCAGGACATGGATAGTGGAGTCGTTGTGGAAGGCGAGGAATTCCGGCGTTATACACCACAAGAGAGGATGGAGAAGGTGGAGAAGATTTGCGTTATGGCAAGATCGTCTCCTTTTGACAAACTTCTCATGGTGCAATGCTTGAAACAGAAGGGGCATGTAGTTGCAGTCACTGGAGATGGTACCAATGATGCTCCAGCACTCAAAGAAGCTGACATTGGATTGTCAATGGGGATTCAGGGGACGGAAGTTGCGAAAGAGAGCTCCGATATTGTCATCTTGGATGATAAATTTGCTTCCGTGGCCACCGTTCTGAAGTGGGGCAGATGTGTTTACACCAACATACAGAAATTCCTTCAATTCCAGTTGACAGTAAATGTTGCTGCTCTGGTGATCAACTTCGTGGCAGCCATTTGTGCAGGAGAAGTTCCTTTAACTGCCGTTCAGCTTTTGTGGGTGAACTTGATCATGGACACGTTGGGTGCTCTGGCTCTAGCTACAGAGAAGCCCACCAAGGAGTTGATGAAGAAGCCACCTGTTGGCCGCACAGAGCCACTGATTACCAATATCGTGTGGAGGAACCTCCTAGCTCAAGCTTTTTACCAGGTTGCAGTACTCTTGATCTTGCAATTCAGAGGAGAGTCAATCTTTAATGTGACTGAATCAGTGAATGACACCTTGATCTTCAACACTTTTGTGCTCTGCCAAGTTTTCAATGAATTCAACGCAAGGAAGCTGGAGAAGAAGAATGTGTTCAAGGGTATTCATAAGAACAAGCTGTTTTTAGGGATCATCGGGATGACCATTGTTCTTCAAGTGCTGATGGTGGAGTTTCTAAAGCGGTTTGCAGGTACAGAGAGGTTGAATTGGGGACAATGGGGTGCCTGCATTGCCATGGCTGCTGTATCTTGGCCCATTGGCTGGATCGTCAAGTGCATACCGGTGCCAGAGAGGCCTGTTTTCAGCTATCTCAAATGGAAGAAACACATATAATGCTTCAAAAAGTTTTTCATTCTTTAGACATCTGCTTCCATATCCTATAATTTGTTTCAGATTTCTCTGTTGGAGCTATGGCATGAAAGCTGAAAATGCAATCAAATGAAATCTGCTAAATGATGCTGCAACATGACTGCACAGTAGCTTATGAAGGCCTGTACAACAGATCAGGATCAGGATCATGCAAACAAGGAAAGTTCTATGACAGAAAATCAAGAAGGAAAGCCAAAGAAATCTTCCATTCAATGCAGAAACTCTCAATCAAAGCTGAAAATATTCAATCACAGCAAGGGACTCAATCACAGCAAGAATTCACAAGCAAGACTAATTGCAATAACTTAGGATTTTACTGTTGGATGTAATTACATATATATCTGTAAGAAGTTAGATTAAAATACAAGCTCAGTATTCTTATTCTCTATATTCCTCTTCAAATTCTTTCATGGTATCAGAGCAGTACGATCCCTGCATATGAATCCTTTCTTTTTCTCAATCTTATTTGTTGCATTCTTATCACAACATGGCCAAGAACAAGGCACTTCTCAGCATCCAAAGCTTCCATCAAATGGCAAGCTTGGTGTCTGTTAAACTGTCAAATACCAATTTTCTATTATGGAAATCACAAGTCTTTCCACTCATAAGGAGTGCTTAACTAGTCCATCACACTTAGGAAGCTGTACCACTAGAGACCATTCTTAATGAAAAGGGTGAAGAAAAGAACAACCCAAAATTTAGTATCTGGTTAAACAATGATGGCCTTCTTACAAGCTGGCTTCTCGGAACAATGAATGAAGATTCACTCAGTTTGGTTGTTGGATCTAATTCAGCATACGAGATCTAGAAGTGCCTAGAGGAACATTACCTAGCTTCAACAAAGGAGCAAGAAATCCAACTCAAAGGGCAACTCTCTATTAAACGGGGAAGCAATGAATCACTTGAGGATTTCCTCAAGAAATTCAAAAGTACATGTGACAACCTCACCGCAATTCGAAAACCACTTGATGATCTTGATAAGGTGTTTCAACTTTCTAGAGTTGTTGGGTCAAGATATCAATCATATAATCTTGCTGTGCTCTTGAAACCTTCATACCCAACCTTCAGACAATACATCTTGGGTCTTCAAAATACTGAACGTGATTTGAAGACTGAAGAGGAAGAAGAGAAAAGTCAAACATTAAATTATGGACA